CCCCGGCCCCAAATTGGAGACAGGATTGCACCTCCCGGCAGGCCCTGCTCCAGCCCATTGCATTATGGGATCACTTGCACCCCCTCCTCCTTTCTTGGCTCTCCCCAGTTTGCGGCTCTCTTGATGGCTCCTGCAAGGTGGGGTCTGCGTCTGGAGCCCTGCCCCGTGCTGACTCTGCCCCTTTCCCTGCAGCCAGAGCCGACAGAGGAGGACATCGAGAAGAACCCGGAGCTGAAGAAACTGCAGATCTACGGCGCAGGCCCCAAGATGCTGGGCCTGGGGCTGGTGGCCAAGGATAAAACCCTGCGGAAGAAAGGTGAGAGGGAGACTGGCCCGGAGGGAGCGTGGGGGGGGGAGGGGGCTCCTGGACTGTGCTGACTTCCCTCCCCTTCCCCAGACAAGGAGGGCCCCGAGTGTCCCCCCACGGTGGTGGTGAAGGAGGAGCCCCCTGGGCTGGATTCTCGGCTAGAGCCGGCATCGCCCCGACCCTTCCTGGAGGTGAAGGAGGAGCTGAGGCACAGCCCTGAGCCCTGCACCAAGATGACCATGCGCCTGCGCCGGAGCCACGGCAGCTCCCAGTTTGTAAGTGGGGGACTGAGGTGCCGACTGGCTGAGACCCCCAAGGGCACTGGATCTCCCCCGCCCCTCCCCCCCGGCAAGCCAGCTGAGCCCCAAGATAGGGGCCCCCAAGGGATCTGGATCTCTCTCTTCTCTCCCCCCCACGAACCAGCTGGGTCCCAGGACAGGGACCCCCAAGGGGACAGGATCTCTCCTCTCCCCCTGAGCCACCTGAGCCCCGGGACAGGGGCCCCCAAGGGGACAGGATCTCCTTCCCCTCCTCCCCCCAAGCCAGCTGAGCCCTACGACAGGGACCACTGAGCTCTGATCCCTGAGGTGGCTGGCTCTGGCACTGTGCCCCATCTCCTGACCCCAGAAGGGCAGCCCCCCAATTCAGACACTCCCCCCCTTCCCCTCAGATCGACTCCTACGTGTGCCGGATCTGTGCCCGGGGTGACGAGGACGACAAGCTGCTGCTGTGTGACGGCTGCGACGACAACTACCACATCTTCTGCCTGCTGCCCCCCCTGCCTGAGATCCCCAAGGGCCTCTGGCGCTGCCCCAATGGTGGTGAGGGGTGGGGCTGGCTGGTCCCTGGGGCTGAATGGGGGATGGGCTTATCTGTGTGGGCTGGTTGGTTCTGTGGTGCTGATTTGGAGGCGTTTGGGAGGCAGCTGTATGGGTTGGGGCTGGGCTGGCTGGTTCTGTGGGGCTGACTTGGGAAGGGTCCAAGGGGGGCTGGATGTGGTGCCTGTGGGGCTCATGGGGGTGCAGAGGAACTGGGGTGGCTGGGACAGGCAGGGAAGGCACACGATGGACTAGGCTGGCTTCCCCATGTGTCTCTGGAGGGGTCCCTGCTCCCCGCTGGCCCTGACCCTCCTCTTGCCCCCTAGCAGGAGTGCAAGCGCCCCCCTGAGGCGTTCGGCTTCGAGCAGGCCACGCGGGAGTACACGCTGCAGAGCTTCGGGGAGATGGCTGACACCTTCAAAGCCGACTACTTCAACATGCCTGTCCACGTGAGTGGCCTACTGGCGCTGGAGGGGGCAGGGGCTCGGACGGGCTCTCTCCCTGGCTCTGGGCAGGATGGGGGGAGGTGGCTGGCGGAGGGAGGGGATCTCCCTGGCTCTGGA